AGCTGAAGAAACGACCATGGCTTTCGGAAGGGGATAGCCCAGAAGGAATGTCAAAGGAGTTCTATTCTACTATTTTTAGACTGAAGACAAATCATGGCATATGGGGTAGCTACAAGAAGAGAAACGGTTTGGCATCGTCTACGAACTGTCCCACTTGCGATTGCCCTTCACGTTCAGATCCTTCCCACATAATTTTTGAATGCCCAGAATACGAAAATGAAAGAGATAAACTGCTAAAAAATCTGGGCAAAGTCCCAAACGTTTCCAAGCCAATAAACTTAGAATCTGTTCTAATAAGCAACAATCCAGCAGCAGTCAACATAATCTACAGATTTCTAAAGTCGATAAACGTTACTTTTTGATTATCTTCAACATTAAAATTTAGAAGATGATTGAGCTGAGTGAGTGGGTGCGGGCGCGCGGCGGGGGCCTGGTCCAGGTCGGCCGATCCCGCTCGTCAGTAAAATTAAAATAGAAAACTTCATTGGTAATATGCCAGCGTAAACCCCCCCCCCCCTAACAAAAAAAAAGAAGTTTATAAAAATTCGTTTTCTTCATATTATCTGAATGTATGCAAATTTTAATTTAGTTTAGTTTTGAAAATTTACACAGATTAATTGTTACATATATTTTATTAAGGCAATTAAAATAGAATTATTAGAAAATCCGTATATTTTCTTAAAAATGCAAACCGTTAATACCCAGCAAATTTTTTTGGTTTAAGGTTTAATAGCATTTTTAAAAAGTTACATTTACTTGATATTTACAGTTACAAATATTGTATTAAGTAAATATTTTCATATAGTCACTTGTAGGTGAAGTTGTCCGGTGACAGCAATCAATCCTTCACACTGAAACCTCATCAATCTTTACTCGTGGTTTCGTTTCAATCGTCTTAGAGGATATTCTGGTTGAATTGGAAGTGATAACTGTCGCGCTGGTAGATAATTGAGGATGCTCTGTGGTCCATTAAATTTTTTGTAGCGGATTATGATGAGGTCATGTACAAATGGGTTGTGCAGATCGTTTTTATCAATATGATTAAATTATAAAAACGAGCGTTTATGATTTGGCGAAAAAATTTAGAATGAATTGTTTGGAGACTTTGGGAGTTGTAAATTAAAATTTTGTTTTCAATGTATAATTTTGATCGTGAGTGATGTAGTCTTTTTAATCATTTTTAACGTCTGTTTGTTTCTTGTTTTTCAGTCTTGCGTAGATTCCAAGAATTAAAAAAAAAAACTCGTGAAAGATGATCGAAATAATTTTATCAAAATAACTGTACTCTTATTTTGGTCAAAAAAATTTTCTCACGGAAATTTTTAGAAATTTGGTTATAAATGTATGGTGGTTAGTGACCGTTAATCCGTAATTATTCAGAAATCGTGAGATGCGGTCTGTTGTGATGTAGGTTTCAGAAAAACATTTTCTTTTTCGTGCCAACGTTTCGATCTTTATTGAAATCATCTTCAGAGCCTGTGATTTACAAACACTGTTTACATTTAACAAATACAAGTAGGATGTGGAAAAAAGTGAATTTATACAATGCAAAATATATTTTTTTATATATTCAATCAAAGTATTTCTACTCACTCAAAGTGTTTGTCTTCTGTGTATTGTGCTATTCTTGCTTGTCGTGTCGAAAGTGCCAGTGAGATTTTGCTGTTTTTTGTTTATATACGTTGGATTTTGAAGTGGTGGGGAAGGATGACGGTATAGAAAAGTCATTTTTGTATAAGGCGTCGGCTTCTTTGAGGTGAAAAGAGCCGACAAAGGGAAAAAACGTTGGTAATGGTTCGGCTAGATTATCCTTTCAGGATTATATAGAAAGGGAGAAATAGGAAAAGGAAATCTAAATTGTTGAAAAATTAGACCATGTGAAAAATGTTTGATGTGTGGAATGTGATGAGATGATATATGTATGTTATTGCATTTGATTAATGATATTGGCGTAGCTGCGACTGAGTTTACATGTATCTGTTCTGTAATTGATGCTGTGTTTATCTCTGTTGATGTAAACTATTTCTAAAAAATTACGTTTATGTTTATTTTGTTCTGTGTGTAATATTTTTGGATTGTTGAAGTGGAAATTGTGTTTGTGTTCAAAATGGTGGGTAGCGAGTGCTGTAGGATTTTGTTTGGGTTTTTTCCAATCATAGATATGTTGCTTTACTCTCTTGTCCAGATATTGGGATGTATGACAGATGTAAGTTGCCGGACAGTTTAAACAGTGATTTTGTAGATTACGTCAGATTTATTTGTTATGGTGTGGGATCTTTAATTTTGGAAAAAAGTGTTTGAATTGTTTTATAATTTTTGAAAGCTATTTTGAAGTTATCGGACGAGAGAAATGTGTTTAATTTATGTGATAGGCCTTGAATAAATGGCGTGGAAATGTATGCTGGTTTGTTTGGATTTAATACACTTAATGTATTATTAGTCATATTAGTAATAGTACACTAACACCATCCACTGTTTGTTTTTATAAAAGTTTGTAATTTTCTTCCCCTAACCCTAATTTTTTAATACAAAATTGCACGTTAATTAGTTAAGTAAATAAATTAAATAGGCTTAATTATCAATTAAAAATAATATTCTTTTACAATTTTTTTCGTTTTGTTTAAAAAATAGATTATATTTGTGTCATTTTTGATGTGAATTCTGGTCATTTTACTCTGGAATTACACTGTTACGTAAATAAATTTCATACTTAAATGGATAAATTTACATTTTAGGATATCTACTAATCAATCCGGCCACCCGGATCTGGGGGGGGGGAAGGATTTTAACAGGCGGAAAAACCAAGAGAACTCCACGGTCGGAATATTATCAGGCCAATTGCTCTGAATATTCATTCGGTTAACTCGGGATCGGGGCAGGATTTTTCATTTTACAGACCCCCTCCTTGTCAATTTGACAAAACGTCATCATAATTCAATTCCGTTCAACCCCGGAATTACTGTTATTACGAAATAAACCGATAGGGTTTATGAAAATAAAAATGTTTAAAAAAAATTGTTGTTAGACAATTGAGGGGGTAACGGAAACCGGATCGAGAGGGCCCCTCGTCAAATCCAAGCCTGTTTGGCCAATCCGTTCCAGGTTTTTCGACCGCCCCTCGAAGCATAAATAAACCTTTTAATTATCCAGGAGACAATGTGGACCTCTGGCCGATGTCGACATGCCGTGAATAGTGTTGGAAGAAAAACTGGCTCGTGCCTATAACAATTTTCAATCTCGATATTGACAGATAAAACGATATCCTTTCTTTCTCGGTCAATATTTCCCGACCCATTTCTCTTAAATTATTAACAAGCCGCGTTTTAACAATTTTTTTCTAACAAAAATGAAAAAGTGGATTTTCACAATAACTGGAACTTGGCACGTGAAAGTCGGAAGCAACGAAGTGTGAAGCACAACTCACGATTATGAAGAGTTATGGACCTGTTATAGAAATGGCTTTAAAAAGTATAGTTATACTATTTCGTACGTAACTAAATTTAGCACACGTATTATGTATGATCGTATTTAATAAATGTATAAATATTTAGATAAATAATATTAAATAAGAACATGTTTTATTATTTTATAAAGTTTGTAGCTACTTCTATAATATTTACAGTAATATTAACCAATACGACGTTCATGTCATGTACTAATTATAATCTTCGAATTAATTATCAATGGTTGTATATCATAGATATTTCAGACTCTCATAGCGCAAAAATAACCTACAAAGAATAACAAGAAAACATAATACAATCACTACTACAACATAATAAAGACACACACACACACACGCACACGCACACACACACACACACACACACACACACACACACACACATGAATTAAACGACACCAGAAAAAAAGTACATTGAATGGAACACTTGAATACATTTTGAGAAAACGAAGATATATTTCACTAATTAGGCATAAAATATGCATGGAAAACAATAAACACAACTGGATAAATCTTTAGTCAAAACATCAACAAAACTAAACCATTACACAAAATTGGTATTTTTAATATGGCGTGTAGTAGTTTCATGCTTGCTCCAAAATGACCTTACATATATATATATATATATATATATATATATATCTTTTATTTTACTTCCTATTTGTCCGAATATTTTTTTCCGCATTTACAGTGTATTATGAACGCAGGGAAAAATATTCGGACACATATGAAGTGAAATAAAATATATATAAAAATATGTAAGGTCATTTGGAAACTTGGAAATATGCTAAAATGGTACATTGAAAACTAAACAATAAAAGTAAACATACAAATTCCAATAGTTCACATACATCGTTTCCACCATTCAAAACACTAAGCTAATTAAAAAGATAAAAATGACCGACGGTAACCAATCACAAATAGTTAATACATAAAAACATGAAATTTCTACATAGCGTAAAAAATGGATGTAACATTAACATACCCAAAAACTTAAAAATATACAAACAGTTTTCACCATTCAAATTGCTACACAAAAACAAAAAACTAAAGACTGACCGAAATTAAAAAAAATATCATAAATTTACAAACGCGAAAAAACCCATTAATTAAAAAATTATAAAAAAAGAACACCGTAAATATAAAAAATATATACACTCCTGCACCATCCGCAAGTTTATAACAAAGACCTAACTTCATTACAACGACTCAGATCCATCACTGAAGATGGCAAAACGCGTCTAAAGTAATTAGGGTATGGAAAAGAAATTGATCAGAAATGACTAAACTACTGCTTCCTCATACCGCAAGAAATAGAGAAAAAATCGCACGAAGGGTCAAATTTTTTGGTTTAGTCCATTCCTAAATAGAAGAACAAAGAATTTCAAATTTAAGCACTCTCATAACGCATACAAGATTTACCATTGTGTCTAGAACAATTATCTTGCTCGAGCAACTAATAGTTCAAGAACGATCGATTAGACTTACTCACGGGTTCCCACCTAAATAGAAATGAGATTTGCATTATGGATAATACCTTGGCACCCACTGATGAATAAGGCTCGTCGAACAATGACCAAACTTTTGGTTTGAGCCTTTGCCAAGCTGTGAGCCTGCCAGCGAGATAGTCTTCTTCGTAGCCGAACATCCTGGCCACCTGCTCTTCTGTCGGTCGTTCCGAGTCGATGTCCAGCTTGTCCAGGATAGCCAATGTTGTCTGAAACAAACAACACCAAAAATGTAATACACATGTAAACGATTTTTCTTTATTTATAAGATATTTTAAAAATATTACAAACGTAAGACATAGTTTTTTATATTTGTCTGAAATAAAACAATATGGATATAGTTTATAAAAATGTGTAAAGTAATATATAAATCGCTTTTGATAACAACGTGTGAAATATTTTACGATGTGGAGATGTTGGGGTGGTTAAATTCAAAGCTTTTCGATCAACACCGTTAATCCTTGGACATGGCAGCTGTTCATACCTGATAAAAAGGATTGACCTAATATCAGCAACATTGGTTATGAGTATGGGAAGGCAGTGTTCACAATGTAGATATAAAATGATAAAAAATATCCCAAATAAAATTTTTAACAATGGACCTTTTGAGGTTTGCACAAAAGAGTCGTAATTTTTAATCTTTACAGTAAATCCTAACAAAACAAATACAGTATAGTATACTTTTTATGATTTGTTTTATTTTTATAATGGGCAACATTTTGTATTTCGGGCCGGTTGTATTTTATACGACAGGCCTATACCACGTCTAGATACTTCAAAATCCTTCTGACCGTGCGTCAATAAAATCTGGACTCTAGTTTTTGCCCTGTCGTTAAAATGGATTTTCTGTATATTATAGAAATGGAATGTTTTTGATAGAATTGAGCCGTAAAGCTCAAAACCGCTTTCACGGTGGACAATGGTTGTAATAAAAACTTTTCAGAGGCATTTGGACATAACAGACTTAAAGGCAGTAACTCGGCTCTTGTACACTTGGTTTCATCCCTATACGGGATTACTGCTACTTCTTATCTGATTAATGTCACTGGGATAATCCTCTTCCCAGCTGATTTCACGGAATTCTTTTTTAGATGGAATCAAGTTATTATGCCAAAAGAAAATACTGAACTTTTTATATAAAAAAGTTTTTTTACAAAGAAGCGATAAAGCTATAATAATTAGAAAAATGTAAATCATTTTAAAATGGTTAAACAATAATGATTTTAGTATGTAATTACATAAAACACTAAATTTTATTATGTTAAATTTCTTCTAATGAACATTTTTTTATCTGAGATAAAGAAACAATTAAAATTTGCTGTACATTACTTTATATTTAAAAATAAAAATCGTTAGCATTTAGAGCCGTTTTATATGCAATTAATATTCTTGAATAATTGGCCCAATTTAACATAGAACACGAGCGTTCGTCCAAATCAGTTCCTTACCCTTTTTGCCATTTCTCACCTCAAATCGAGTCATTATTAAACTTTCATCCATCCAATTTCGGCAAAAGTTTTGGTCTTTTGCTAGGTCTATTCTCGCAACTGTGATCCAAGCTTAGTTCTACACATTGTACTTGGATTTATCTAAGAATTTTTTAAGGGTTTGTAAGAGGGAAGTTTTCGTAAGCTCTTAAAAAGGGGGGAAACTTGAAACACCATTCCGAACATCTGCGAAGTTTCTCCGGGATTGGAATTTCTGAAATGTGTAATAGAATCGAATGCTTAAATATTTACATCGTTTCACCAACGAAAAGGAAGTGATGTATTTTTTATTAGAAGGTTTACAACTAAAAAATAATAATTTAAGCTATTTTAATGATCCGGAACGACCTCATGTTGCAAGTATGATTGAGGATGATCATAGCTAGAACCAAGATTCACGTGCAATAAAAATCCTCAAATATAGCATAGAATTTGTTCTAAAATATTCAAATACTCAGCGTGAATGCCACTTTTTTTTAATAACAAGAGTATTACCAGATCACGGATTTGAACCAAACTATTAATTATACGCTACTTCTTGTGAATAGGCCATGGTTTCGCCAAAAAATTGCAAGTTAAAATTTTACGTTATTAATATTTTTATTTCGCCTTTCCACTTGATCAAATCAACTATGTGAATACACCATTTTACAGCTTTTTTAATAGAGATTGCAACAAAAGTATAGCAACAGCTGTCGAATTTTATCAATAACCAAAACAATTCTAAAAATGAAACATTTTTCAGGTAAATTTGGTCATTTCTATCTAGGTAATTTTTTTCGTGAAACTGATATGAAATTTTGTTTTACCACCTCTAGAAATCCTTAAATATAATATTTTTTAATTAAATTTGTTGAGTTTTTGACCCTGAAAATTTTTCCGAGTTTTGAGATATCGTTATCTGAATATCAGTCATCTCAGTCAAGTTGTCAAAATTATCAGTTAAACAATTAATTTACACCAATTTTCACGAAAGTCGTTATCTAAAACTTTTAAAATCACGAAGTAGACAATGAGGTTAAGTTTTGACTATTTTCTGACCTATTTTCCTTACAGAATGTTTTGTTTAAATATGCAAAATAGCAATGTTTTGTTGATTAATGGTGATTGGTAAATTTTTTTTTTCAAAATCTAAATTTAGTCGCAATTAAATGAGCATAAATGGTTATTCCGAGATTATAAAAATATTATTTTTGGTGTATTAAATTCACTGTTAATTAAAATAAAAACTATTGTCCTACGACGGAATATATTCTAATTTGGAATAATTGAAAAAACAAATAAACAAAATACTGCTATTTTACATACTATAACAAACATTCAGTAAGCAAAGTAAGCCAGAAAATTGTCAGCCAGACCTCATTGTCAGAATCCTGATTGTAACAATGTAATCTGTACACGTATCACTCAGTCTAAAAACCCAGGATCGTTGTAAGTTGCGGCACAAAGCAAAATCCATGGAATCTTTGGAGTTGCGTAAACTGCATTTTCAGTTAAGAGATGCTTTTTAAAAACGTGTCAAAAAGAATTTTTTATGAATAGGGATTGGCTGCAGCGCATGCTTGAATTATCCCATGAATAATACAACAGTTACTTACCAAGAGGAAATTATTTTTTAAAATTAAATTACATTTACAAATCTGTATACCTTTATTAATTTTTTTTAAAGATACCGTCAAGAAAGAAAGGTCAGCCGTGCAGCTGGCGTCAGGCGATAAGATGAGGCTGACATCTCCAGTTGGCAACTTCTGACTTTTCAATATCTCACTTTCGTTGGGTCGATTTTCCCTTTTTTCGCATTTATCTTTCGTGAACACGTGCCAGTTTATCTTCGTTTTCTCGCTAGAACGATGTTTTATAATTTTTTGCCTTCATCCTTCTTGAAAGCGGAATCAAGTAGGCTAACATCTTTTTGTGTAAAGTTAGAACAAAACCTTCGTTTAATATTAAAATGAAAGTAGACAAACAATTTATAAAATCATAATACGCATTTTTGATTTGATAGAAAAAATTCAAAAAGAACTAACATTCTTTGCATTTTTTGTGTTCATTATTCCACAAATTTTTATGATAAATTATTCAAATACAATAAAATTATATATATTTTTTGTATTATCGGGTTGTCCGGAAAATAATGCAGGATTTTAAGTTTTCATTAAAAAAAATCTATATAAAATATTCTGTTTACGTNAAGTTACCAACACGTTGGGAGAAATGTATTGAGAGTATGGGAAATTATTTTGATTAAAGAACATTGCTTTAAAGTAACTAGTTTCTTTTTTTTTTGTTTAATACCAAAATCCTGCATTATTTTCCGGACAACCCAATAATTAATCTGAATGTAAGGTATTGGTTGAGATAAAAAATCACGAGCGGGATTCGAACCCACAACCTTCGTGCTAGGTACGCCGCTGCTCTACCACTTTAGCTATCGTGACTTCGATCCACTCAGGCACTAACTTTCCATACCAACCCACCTTTCGAATTTTCCCTACTTTTTGGCATTTTTCAATTTTTTTTAATCTCAACCAATACCTTACATAAAGATTAATTAATTGAAAAAAGTTAATTGACTAATCGGACCACGAACTTTAATGGATTTAATAAGTAAAGTAAAGTATGTCTTCACCCTGCGTGGCCATTTCATTTGTCGCCGAAATCGAATAGATTACACGACATTTGAAAAATCGCAAAAAGGAGGGAAAATCAAAAAGTGGGGGTTGAGATGGTCGGTTGGTGTCCGAGTGGAAGGTAGGCATGAGAGCTCAAGTGGTAGAGCAGCGTCGTATTTAGCCGAAGGTCGCGGGTTCGAATCCCGCTTGTGACATTAACTTTTTCATTTCAACCAATACCTTCCATAAAGATTGATTAATTATAAAAAGTTAATTGGCCAATTGGACAATGAACTCTAATGCATATATTTGTTGTTTTGTTCATTATATCAGACATAATGTAAAAAAACACGAAACTATTTTTATTTACCAATTCAATAATTTTTCTAAATACCTTCTCTTATTACCTAAAAACGAGGATTACCCTTCTCCATATTCTGGTTGAATAACTTGTGAGAAGTTGTCCCGTACATTCCATACTTGGCAGTCCAAGTGGAAAAATTTGATTCAGCTAAAATTGGCAAATGTTTCTGAGAATTTAATGTATTTACTCCCATTTCATGCAAACGTTAATAAGTAGAAATGGATTCAACAATGTTTAAAATCCTGCTATTTAAGAATATTGCTTATAATTTTTAGAACATAAGTTTAATATTTAAAATAATACCTGTGTATCTCTATGAATGCTATAAGTGGACCAACAACAGGGCTCGACTTGGTTTGAGTCCAAGCCCCAGAATTCAAGTTCCTCTTCAAAAAGCGGTCCGCAAACATTGGTCGGGTAATGCAATTTGCCGGTCCTTTAAAAAAGCATAAACACAACAAAAAAGTTAACATAATTAAAATGGATACTTTATAAAGTAATACCTTACCTGTAATAATTGAGCACTTGGGCAAAAACACCGGGGTGTCTGTCGAAAAAATACTCGTTGAGCAGGGGGTCATAGTTGGCCAGGGCTTCTGTGAGACGAGATAACCGTGTGGCTGGGATTTTTTTCAGAGTAGCTTTATAAGTCTCGTATCGAATTCCACCAACGTTCAATATAATCCTGTTCTCGCCGTCCATAGCATCTCATCACTTTCGAAGTGAAACGATACCTGAAAAAGAAAGAACAGAGCTTATGATATCGAGATTATAGTCACGTATACGTAGTAATAATTTGTACATTTCCACAATAAGTACATGAATCCGTCAAAGAACGTTTTTGATCTTTTGGTTAGAAAGGATGCAGTTATCACCCAGTAGTTGTTATTTCTAGATTTTGAGGTATATATTTCGCTTTCTTCACGGCAAATTAATGAAAAATTAAAATAAACATAAAACATTTAAGAGATCTGGAATCCACATAGATTCTCCATTAACGGTCCTTAGTTATGACAACTATATATAATATTTACAATATATTATATTCAAATAATTTAACAATCATTTACAACAACCATTGTAAACAAACGATTTTTAACCACCACATAAACCAAGTTTCCGTGGAGGTTTGGATCTTTTTTAAGTTCAAAATAAGTGTATTTTAACATTACTATAATTACACTCATTATACGAAGCGTTTATGAGGGGTATTTACCTTCATGTTTTGAGCAATAAAATTAATTATATGACTTTCATACAGGAAACTGCAGATGTGGGCATGTGGTTAAGGCGTTCGACTCGATCATCTATCATCGATCATCAGGTGTGATTGCTCCTAGAAACCAAATATGCCGGATTTTTATAGTTTTTATAATATTTAATAATAAAATTCCGTTTTTTTCAAAAAAAATTTTACAGCGTATGACGAACGATACTGTGCGGAGCACAAGTCTGGGGTCATCGCAGCTAAGAAATTGTGGAAATACCTTCAAATATTTTATAAAGAAATGTTTTAGTTTGCCGACAAACACACCTGTTTACATCATTTATCTAGAATCTGGACTTTTCCCAATATTTTTGTTCACACTAAAATTTAATTTATGCTATATAAATAAATGTCTAAGCTTAGTAGATATCGTAAAATAGTTTTAAGTGAAATAATCAATTGAAAGCTGTTTTGGTACAATGGTATAAATAAACTTTCTGAAAAGTGTCATTTGAACATAACGGATTTATTGCAGGGTAAAAGACAAATTGTGAATTTAATAGATACAATTAAAAATTCAATGCATGCTGATTACAGACTAAGAGTTGAAAACAGTACTCGTCATCCTCTCTATAAACATTTGTGTAATTTAATCCAATATATAAGGTCCGAAATAAATACAAGTTCGATAAGTTGACTGATAAAGATTAGAGGTGAGTTATTGGGTTGTCCGGAAAATAATGCAGGATTTTAAGTTTTCATTAAAAAAAATCTATATAAAATATTCTGTTTACGTTTACAGGATTANAGTTAGTAACTATAAAAATTTATAGTTTTATTTTTACGTTACCTATTTTATTATAAACTAAGTATAATTCCAATGGTAATTTTCAATTTGCAGGTGCTAATAGAATTTGAATAAAAGGGCGATTTAAGCCGACCTGATGAACGAAGTTTTTTTTTAAAAATAGAATGCCCTATTTTTTCACAAAGGTTGCAGACCCTTCCAATTCTCAAAAATTGTTTAAAAATAAAAAGTATTTTCTATTATATTTTATAATTCATTAACAATATTCGAAGCGTTAAGGTTCATGTCAAAAATGGAGGCGGTTCTGTAGAATCGAATTTGTCGTGATAGATTGATAGACAAAAAACTAATTAAAAATTGATGTTTTTCTTCAGTACAATATAATTTCAATTTATCGTTATTATTTAGAAAAAGTAACACAAATAACTGTTCACATTTTATTGAAATAAAATTTGAATTTTTTTCCTTTTTAATTGTGACTCATATGACAAATTGAAACTATAGATAATTATTCAGAAATCGTGAGATGCGGTCTGGTGTGATGTAGGTTTCAGAAAAACATTTTCTTTGTCGTGCCAACGTTTCGATCTTTATTGAGATCATCTTCAGGGACTGGGATTTACAAACATTGACATTCCAAGTCAGTCGTTTGAATTAAAAGAAAGAAAAAAACTCGTGAAAGATGATCGAAATAATTTTATCAAAATAACTGTAATCTTTTTTTGATAAAAAATATTTTCTCTCGGAAATTTCGAGAAATTTGGTTAAATAAATGTGTGGTAGTTAGTGACCGTTAATCGATAATTATTCAGAAATCGTGAGATGAGATCTGGTGTGATGTAGGTTTCAGGAAAACATTTTCTTTATCGTGCCAACGTTTCGATCTTTATTGAGATCATCTTCAGAACGTGGGTTTTAGAAACATTGTTTACATTTAACAAATACATGTAGGATGTGGAAAAATGTGAATTTATGCAATGCAAAATATATATTTTATATTCAATCAAAGTATTTCTCCTCACTCAAAGTATTTGTCTTCTGTGTAATTGTGCCATTCTTGCGTGTCGTATTGAGAGTGCCAGTGCGATATTGCTGTTTTATGTTTATAATGCTGTTCTGAATAATTATCGATTAACAGTCACTAATCACCAAACATTTCTACACGAAATGAACCTATAGAGTTATGAAGAAAAACTTCAATCGACGAATTTTTTGCGTTTTTGGCATCATTTTTTGAGAATTGAAAATATGTTCGAACTGCACGAAAAAATAGGGCATTATATTTGATAAAACGTCGATCGCAAGGTCGGCTTAAAGCGCCGTTTTATTCAAATTATATAAGCACCTTCAGATTAAAAATTACCTTTGAAATTATATATAGTTTTATAATAAAATAAGCAGCGTAAGGATAAAAGGACCATGCCTTTTAAAAAATTATAAGCACACGCATATATGGTTACGGTTTCTACGAGCAATCAAATCTGAAGAATCAGAGATGATCTAATAAATGGTTGAAAAGGATGAATGTAATAACAACTTTGTGAATCGAACTTTGTGACCTTCGTTTTTACCAATTAACTGGTATATTCACTTTACCAACTTTCAACTTATGTCAATAGTTGCACTAACACCAAAAATCTAAGAACCAGTATCTTTGTGTCATCTCTTCTAGTCAGTTTGCATTAATTTCACATACGGAAACCTTACCCGTTTTGCTATTTGAACCTATTTCATTTGTAAAACCTTACAATATACATACCTATGGTACCTGCACTGTTTGAAATATATCTAGTGATTTTATCTTACAAAATTCTATAACATTGTATAATTCTATAAATTATCGCAATGTAACATGTCAGTGTACGACATCAAACGTGTTGTATCATTAATTCATATTTAATAGCATTGTGGTATTTTAACGTATTGAATGTCATCGTACAGTGGGCATTTATGATGCATGTTGAATATTACGTATCGCATTTACTAATCTTACCAAACCGTATTTCATTTCCTTGGAACGAATTGATTCTAAACGTGTAGAATCGAATCTGATAATGTAAATCTGTTTAATGAATATTGTGGTTATTAGAATATTTATTTTAGACTATATACAATTATGCACAAAATAAGACAATATCGATTAGATTCAGAGAATCCAATCCGATTACACGACATTTGAAAAATGGCAAAAAGGAGGGAAAATTCAAAAGGTGCGGTTGAGATGGGAAGTTAGTGTCCGAGTGGATCGAGGTCACGATAGCTCAAGTGGTAGAGCAGCGGCGTATCAAGCCGAAGATTGTGGGTTCAAATCCCGCTCGTGCCATTGACTTTTTAATCTCACCTAAAAACCTTAATTAATTATAATATCGATTAGGTTTCGTGGTCCGATTGACCAAATAAATTCTTTTCAATTAATTAATCTTAAGGTACTTTTAAGAATAATTACTAAGCTATCGTGACTTCGATCCACTCGGACACCAACTCCTCATCCCATCCCACCTTTTGGAATCACGATAGCTCAAGTGGTAGAGCAGCGGCGTATTTAGCCGAATATCGTGGGTTCGAATACCGCTCGTGACACTGACTTTTTTATCTCAACCAATGCCTTACTTAAAGATTAATTAACTGAAATTAATACAATATAATAAAAAAACTTTTATTTTTGTAGTTCGTTTCTGATTTGATTTTTCCAAACAATGACGTATTTCTATGGCTGTCCAGAGGTGTAGTAATAAAAAGAAAATCGAACACCTGATGGAGTGTAAAATTGAAAAATAATAGAGTATAGACAATGTTAGAATATGGAGGCATAAATGTATTATGTGGACAACTGCTCCTAGAAAAAAATGTCTTCACTTTAAAATAAAATCTTTTCCAATTGGATTTCTTCTTCTTTTTTATGTTTGCAGAGGAAAATAATTCGTTTTAGGCTTTTCGTAATTGACATCCTTCTATGGAAGGAAACTCCAACTTTCGTAATAGTAAAAGCGATAGTACGGAGAATTCAATATCACCCTCCCTCGCAGGAGAGGGGAAGAAACAAAGGGGCGTTAAGTTTGTGACGTAACTTACTCTATTTATGGTTATTGTAATATGGGAATTTCTAGTTTGGCTGATCCCGTAGAAATTCAATCTAACCATTTTCCATAAAGAAAAATGGCGTACATGTATTCAAGAGTGTATTTCTGTACACATGTTTATGTAGTAAAGAAACAGAAAAGAAAATAAAACTAACAGACACAAAGATAATACGAAATATTCAAATATTATTTGGTAAAAATGACTTGATTAAGTTCATTTTAACATTAAGTAAATCATAAATTTGTATGTAATTCTGGTATTTACAATTGCACGAAATATATTACATGAACAGAATTTAATTTCTTTTCATTCCAATTTTTTTCTGATTGTGTTGTACCTCCTTGTTTTTCTCACTCTTCTGAACGATTTATCTCCCTTCTAATGTATAAATCTTTCGTTCATTTACACTTTGTTAGGTAATCTATTCCTATCTACGCAAAATCCCGCCTTTATCCAATTCACTTAAAATGATTTTGTTGCAAAAGTTTCTTCACCGTAATTTTCAGAATATATATAACATACGAAGTACAGATAATACATATCGTAATAATATATACAATGTAATAATTAATTATTATTACAAATTTGACCGCTTGACCAATTAATATCATTTAATTAATTAAGGTTTTAAGTTGAGA